TTAAATTTTTTTTTAATTTTTATTTTATTATTTTTGTGTGAGTGTACCGTCAAATCAGATCTGACTGGTACAGGAGGAGGTTGTCCCTCCTTCCCCGGCAGAGCATCCGGTGGATTTGAACCGTGCTCCTCTGCGATTGTAGTTGCAGCTCCTTGCCACTAGGGAGTCACCTCTACTTTTGCAGCCTGAAATAGCCTAGGCCAATGGCCGTGGTGGATGAATACCCCAGACAGCAGTGACACAAGTTCTAAATGAAAGGGGGAAAAGATACAATTATCGAAAGCTGCCTTCTTTACGGCAGTCAAGGTTCCTGGGGACCCGGCTTGCAAAGCTCCATCCTTCTATAAATCCTATAACCTGACACTGACCACCCCATGTCCTTATTAACTCAAAGCACGGATTGCAAACCTCCTATGATGTCCAATCGCCAGCTCCAGCTTTTACCAAGCTCCGTATCAAATCATCCACAAAGAAAGCAAAAAGTCACTACAATGACAGCAAAGGAAGAAAAGACTGAAATGGATGTCAGAAGAGACACTGAAACTTGCACTGGAATGTTAAGAAGCCAAAACAAACCGGATACTCTGCTGGAGAAGGAGGAACAATCTCTTCCTGTACCAGTCAGATCTGATTTGACGGTACACACAAAAAATAATGAAATAAAATAAATTTTAAAAAATAAAAAGAAGCCAAAACAAAGGGAAGACAGGCTGACGGAGGAGACCTGAACAGAAGATTTCAAAGGGCAGCACAAGAAGGCAGAGCAAGGCATCATAATGAAATAAATGTGCAAAGAGCTGATGTCAGGAAACCAAACGGGAAGAATATGCTCAGCATTTCTCAAATTGACAAAAAACTGAAGAACAAATTCAAACTTCAAGTTGCAATCCTGAAGGATGCTATGAACAAAATATTACACAAGGCAGGAAGGTGAGGAAGACACCGAGGTGTGCACACACACAAAATAAAAATTGGTCAATAATGAATCACTTCAGAAAGTAGCAAGGGATCAAAAAGTAAAGGTAAGGAAGAAAAACATTCAGGCTGGCAAAAAAAAAACAGCATACAAAAAAAAAATTATGGGGTACCTACTAATACTTTTAAACACACAGATGCAGCCCTGGACTTCCTCACCAGCCTATGCCAAGAAATTTGGAGACAGTTTCCTGGCTAACTAATTGGAAAAGATCTGTATTTGTTATTATTTAAAAAAAAAAAGGAGATCAAACAGAGCACAGGAATTCTCAAACAACATAATTAATATCGCACACAATGAAAATCTTGCTGAACACTATGTGAAAAACAGCAAAAAGAGTACACTGATGGGAATCGCTGGAAATTCAAGGTGGAATCAGCAGAGGCTGGGAAACAAGAGATGTCACTGTTGACATCAGATGGATCTCGACTAAAAGAAAATACCAGAAAGAAGTCTATTTGCGTTTTATGGACTGGACAAAGCCATTGTGTGGGTGGCAGCAAGTTATGGCTTCCACTGAAAAGAATGGGAATCCCAGAATATTTAAAATGTGTTCATTTGAAACCTATATGCAGGAAGAACAATCCGTTATCTGAACAGAACAAGGGAACACTGCATAGCCTAAAATCAGGAAAGATGTATGTCAAGGCTGTACCCTTTCTCCAAACGCGTTCAATTTATAAATCTGTTTGCTGAGCAAATAAGAGGAGCTAGATTACACGAAAATGAATGTGGCATTAGGCCTGGAGGAACACTTGTGAACAACCTAGCTTGCAGACAGTGAAGGCTTGAAGCATCACAGCCTATGGGCTACTTCCTAACATCAAGAAAACAAAAATCCTCATCCCTGGACCAAGAGGCAACAATCACCATGATCGAGGGATTAATATAGAAGCTGTCGGTGCCTTCATTTTATTTAGATCCACAATTAATACCCATTGTAGTAGCAGCCAAAAAAAATCAAAAGACATGTTGCATTGAGGAAATCTGCTATCAAGGACTTCTTTTTTTAAAAAATTTTTTAAAAGTTTTTTTAAAATTAATTTTAATAAACGTTTACAGAGACTTTGGATTTCCATTCATACATTGTTGCATTCTTCTCCCTGCCCACACTCCCCTTTCCCCCGCCCCAGTTCGCTCTCTTCTCTTTGAAAAGTAAAAGAAAAATTCTTTCATTGGTATACAATCCCCCATCCCCCGCCCCAGTCCACTCCACTATGCAGCCTTCATTCTGGACTCTTGTCATGACCATAATACCCTCTCATATATCGCTTTTAAACAGTTCGCTCCTTCATCTGTTTCAATGCAGTTATACATAATTTATCAAGTCTTTCTCAGTCTCACCCGAACCCTGATGTCAATCCCGTTCTACAACAGTGGTACCAAGGACTTCTTTAAAGTGATAAATAAAGAGCAAAGATTTCCGTTTAAAGACTAAGGTGCATCTGTCAAGCCACGGTGTTTTCAATTGGTTCCTGTACACCTAGAAGTTGGCCGATCCATGAGAATAAAACAGAATAATCGATGCCTTTAAAGTGTGGTGTTGGCGAAGTTCACACTGACTTATGCTATGGACTGCCAAAAGAACAAACAAGTCTGTCCTAGAGAAAGTGCATGCAGAGTGCTCTTTGAGGTTAGGGATGGTGAAACTTTGTCTCATATTCTGGGCATGTTGTCAGGAGAGGGTTAAAAAAAAGACAGTATGCTGGAAAACGCGGAGGGTCAGACAAAGAGAGCAAAGATTTCGAGAAGATGCAATGACTCAGTGATTGTAACAAAGAAAGGGCTCATGCATAATAGCGATGCGGCGGGGGGAGGGGGGGGTTTGCAAGGATCGTTAAAGGTCCGAGCTTGCAAGGCACCCAAGAAGCAGCGGATCAAGTCTCAAACCAGAAACGGAGACCGCATGCATTGCAAATATCACCTTTACCCCCTTTACAAAACAGAGGGATGTGCAAAGATCGCGGCCCCGACAGGGAGGATGCACCGATTGGCTCTCTGCAAAGGCGCTCACCCGCCTCCGACTCCCACCTGCATCCCTCCGGCCGCCTCCATCACCGCGCGCCCCTGGGGACCCCCGCGTTCCTCCCGGCTCCGCGTCCTCGCGTCCCCCCCGCACGCCCCGCTCCAAGGACAAAACCCCGCACTGACCGGCCTTTGTTCTGAATGGCCCGCAGTCATGAAAATTGTATTTACTTCCGTAATCTCCTCCTGCAGCATCAAAGGCTGGCCCGGCGACTCTGTCCGCCTACGGCGGCCGGCAAGGCTCTCAACTTTTGTTAGCGCGCGAACAAGGCGAGAGCGGGAAGGGGCGGGGCGTGCTCGACGTCGCCGTACAGTGTGATGGCTGCGCCCAAACCAGCCAGCGGCACTGGAGGCGGCCATACTGCCGTACGGACTTAGGGACGAGAAACTCACTATCAGGATGAAATAAAAAACAAACACTTTGAAGGAGAGGCAATCTCCTCCTGTACCAGTCAGATGCGACTGGATGGTACACACACAAAATATAATAAAATTAAAAAAAAAAAACCACCCTACTTAATCAGGACAAAGGGAACACTTCTTTTTGCACAGATAATTTATATTTAATGTATTTACTTATATTTAAACTTTTCATTATATTTATCTGTGAAAAATCATGTCATCGACCAGGCCAGGCCATATCAGCCATTAATAACTAATTAATCAATAGAGTAAAAGATCTTTTTGTTGGTTTTTTTTTTTTAACTAGCAGGGACACCTTGGAAGGCAAGACGCCCCTGAAAACTGATTCCTTGTTTCCTAGACCTTACAAAAAAGAAAAATAAATTTTAAAAGTAGATTATTCAGTGACTGGAGTTTTGGCAAGAAAATGATGGCTCAGATTAAGTTCCTTTCTAGCAAATTTTCACACAAGGCTGGAATCCCCTCATTTGCATAGTCGCTGGAAATTGCATTTGCTTGTGTTTGCTGACCAATCACAAGGCGGCTAGGAGCAGCCCAGGACCCGAGAAAAATGTGCAAATACCAAGCTGTTTATTGCTTGCCCTGGAAATGTTAATCAACTCGGACAGTCAAACCCTCTGAGGTAGAGAACAATAAGGTTTAGGGAAAATAAAAAATATAAGAAACCTCTCAAGCTGTTCTAAAGGAGCAAAGTAAAAGACTATATAAAAGTGAGAAAGATGGGATAAATTATGTATACTGCATTGAAATACATGAGGGAGACAAGTGTTCAAAAGGGAGACATAATTAGGTATTATTGTCATGACAGGAGTCCAGAACGAAGGCTGCACAGTGGAGTGGACTTGGGGGAGGGATTGTATAACAAGGAAAAGAATTTTTCTTTTCCTTTCAAAAAAAGGCTGCATAGTGCAGGGTCTTGGGAGGAGGGATTGTTTAACAATGAAAAGAATTTTTCTTTTACTTTTCAAAAGGAAGGCTGCATACTGGAATGGACTTGGGAGGAGGGATTGTATAACAATGAAAGAATTTTACTTTTCAAAACGAAGGCTGCATAGGGAGTGGACGTGGGGAGAGGGATTGTATAACTGTGAAAGAATTTTTCTTTTACTTTTCAAAACGAAGGCTGAATAGCGGAGTGGACTAGCGCGGAAGGATTGTATAACAATGAAAGAACTTTTCTTTTACTTTTCAAAACCTAGGCTGCATAGTGGAGTGGACGTAGGGGGAGGGATTGTATAATAATGAAAGAATTTTTTTATTACTTTTCAAAGAGAAGAGCAACCTGGGGGGAGGTTGGGCAGGGAGAAAAGTGCAACAATGAATGAATGGAAATGCAAAGTAAACTTTCATTAAAATTAATAATAAAATAATTGTGCAACTTTTTAAAAAAAAGACCATATGAAAGGACTCATTTCCCACAGCATGTATGTGCCCTTGGTGCATTCCGCTATGGGGAGATACATATATGTTGTTCTTAAGTGCCGTCAAATCATATATATATCTATATATATGCAATTTTAATTTATTTATCTATTGATTTATCAACAATCTGCGTTATGCGGATGACACAACCCTGCTTGCTGAAACTGAAGAGGACCTGAAGCACCTGCTGCAGAGTGTCAAGGACTGCAGC